TACTGGTGCTAGGTAGTAAGGGAACCAGATGGGTGATAGGATGATGCCAGTGTCACCTGAGACTAAATTAAGCTTTTGTGTGATGTTACTGAATACTGTTGATGTTACTGTACCATTTGGGAGGGACTACTTGTGACAGAATCTCCCTACCAGCAGATAGTAGTAGAAATAAAATGTGCCAGGAAAGCTACATTTTGTTTAGTGTGCCTTATTTCAGTCAAGGTAGCCAGAATCAACTATTTTATAGGCAAAAATTCCTCTCCATCTCCTTACATAAGCTGTGTTCATATCACGCACAATCTGCCCATGGCTTGTACTGGAAGTACTTTGCCATTTGTACCTGTGCTAACAGTTCTGGAAATGGAGTTGTGCCTATTTTGTTACTAAGATCTAGTCTGAGCAACTCTGGATTTGGTAAAGATATTCAACTCATAGGTGGCTTACTGTTCAGTTAGCTTTCCCATTCTGCTGGCATGGCTGTAGCTAGTCAACTAGTGATGCTGTTGCAGCCGTGATGGTACATGGACACAGACAAGGTAAAGTTTATAGGCTGAGGTAGCATCTCTTACAAGACTTTTCAGGCACTCAAGCCCTTCATTAAACACTAATGAATGTTCTGAGAAACGATCTAGCCTGAAATTTTCATTATAACCTTTTGTTCTTTTGATAACTAAGCTCTGTTAGGGAGAATGAGCTAATTTTATGAAGATTTGTCCAGTGTGTATACATTGTGTTCATTCTAGTTTAAGGGATGCCTTAAAGAGGGTTAGCAAAGAAAGAGCATACAGTGGATACCATTGTCCTGAACAGGGGAGTTTCTATCAGAAAGGCTGTTGATCTATGAGAGGGCAGTAGAGGCGGATGCCATTTTCATTCTTCTTCCAAGTAGCAGCTACAAACAGAATGAAATAACTTTGAAAGGATCATTCTTGTGCTGCTTATAGGAGGAACATACTGGGAAGAGCTAGATGCTGGAGAGATTGCTTGGCTTAGGAGTAGTGGGGGGTAGTCTGACCACCCAGGACTGTGCTTTATCCTCAAAAGAGAATTGCAGATCTCTTAAATTTAACTACAAACAGTACCCTTAGCATGCTTTCTTTGCTTTGTGACCATGTGACATTGTTTAGTTTAGGTAGAAAACCAGTCCTCATACCAGGTGAATTCTGGGAGGTTAGAAGGGCTATATCACTTATCCTGGGGAATATCCAGTAAGATCTTGCAAAGAATAGTAGCATCATCCTGTGATGCTTAAGTTTGTGTAAATACTCTTTCCTTGTCATCTTGAGGAATGAAACAGTGTCCTAAATGTGCACTGTAATTGTGGATGTTGACTCCTCTGACATTGCACAATTACGGTGAGCTGCTGAAATAGTTTTACCTTCTGATTCTCTTTTCAGAAAGATGACAAGTATCTGTCTACAGCCTGAAACTGGCACTGAATCTCCTTGCTGTTGGGTTGACTTCTGAAATGGGGTGGAATGAGCAGCTGGGAGTGATGACCACTTAGGCTATTGTAGGTTGTGTGGTGGCAGCAGCATATTAAGTTGACTAATGGAGTGCTACATTTTTTGTTTATAAGCTGTGTTTAGAACTATGATAATATTAAACTGGTAAGTTCTTCCTAAAAGCTGACTTAACCTTTAGAAGTCTTCGATATTTAAAAAAACTCCAACAAACCAAACTCTGTAGATGCTTTTCTCAGCTGATTTTAAACACAGCAGGAACTCACTGATTGATCTAGATGCTGATATTATGCTTATTATATATATATAATCATTAAGTAGATTGTTGTACATGGCAACTTCCTCTTTAAATGGAAGTTAATGAAAGTTTTTAGTTTGCATGCTGAAAAAAGTTAAAGGACTTGAATATAAGATTTATAATCTCAGTGAAACACAAACCAAACTCTTTCAACACCTCAAGTGTTCTACAGATTTCCATGTTCCAGTTTTAGTTTTCATGAACTGCCTAGCCTTAGAGACAGAATGGGGCAATAAGTCTCTTTGTTCACAGTTTCTTCGGGCTAGATGCTACTGACCATGCTTAGACTTCCTATTTTCTTAGGAAAAGATCATCCTAGTCATTCAAACCCTTCACTGAACTGTGGAGTCATAGAAACTTTATAATAGAAATTAAAGACCATCTGTGCCTTTCTTGTTCATAATCTCAGACTGCTTTCATTCACTTGTGAACAAATAGTTCTGGCTATTAGCACTTTTCTGTTGGCAGCTCTGTGTTACATTCAGGCACATGCTTTTGGCTTTTGTAGTACATTTTTAAAAAGCACTAAAAACCAGTAGCAATGATTTTGGACTATACCTTTTGGCTTGCTTATCTTTGCAAGCTCAGTAAGGGCAAGCATGTTTAGCACTGAAAAGATCCTGCATGAAGGACAACGTGGAAACATCTTGGTTCATTGAGCAATTCCACTGTACCTTCAAGAAAAACAACCTGTGTTTATGTAGATCTTTAAAGTTCAGCAACTGCTGAATGCAAATCTCTTTTGCTGGAGGTGAAATGCATCTTTTATTTTCAACCTTAGTGCTTGCTTGTCAGAGAGTGCTAGTGAAGTAAATCTTCAAGGCCTGATTTAAGAAGTCTCTTGGCATTCTTGTATCTTCTTGTATTAGAACAACCTTTCGCAAGCATCTTGGCCAAATGTGGGTAAGCCTGTTGTGTTGGTTGTTACTGTGTCTCTTTGAGCATTGCTCCCACAATGTCGCAGAGGTGATGTAAGGACATGTTCTTAGGCAATATAGCAGGTAACGCAGCACACAATGGCAATTCTATTGCTTAAAGCTGGTAGAAAGAAAAACTAGTAAAACTTGCTGGTTGAATGTCTAATGCAAATTGAACAATCTATGAAACTAACTATGACTGTTTCAACTAACTAGCTCTTTGAAATGTTGTGTGGAATAGCAGGTAGGGTGTGCATGTGTGTTTGTAACTTGTTTACAAACAGCTGCTCTGCTGGCTTGCATTTTTTTGGTTTTAGCTACAGCTTCAAATTGGTACAGTGTACTGTACTGAAATTAGTCTCTTATAAGTTGCCTTTTAAATGAAGACACCCAATATGTTTCATTTTAAACTGTAGTTCTTGTTGCATATTCTTTTCTTTCTTCCCTCAATCAGTTTTGCCAAATGGCAATGTGACGATGTCATCATGTTTCTCACATAAAAATAGAATTGTGAATTGGCTGCTTGAAATATGACAAAACCAGTCAAGATTTCAGTTGTTCTGTGGCTTTCTAAATATTTGTTCTTGGTCTTAAAACCTACTTGCTCGACTTCTTCATTGGGCTTCCTGTGTAATGTTGTTAAACCTTGGCTTAATTCTCATGGGGTGATAGTCCTGTGGCTCTTGTGTTTACCAAGTAAACAGCTGTGGCCATTTTAGATGTTACTCCTCAGATGGAGGTTACTGACCCTGTAGTGGAGTTAGCAAGAAGGTGAGCATACCATCTGCTCTGCTGTCATATTGTAAACTTGCCGCCTTGGGTGATTAAAGCAGTGTGGCATACTGAACTCAGACAACTGAGCTATCATTTAGTTCTGCAAAGTCTGTTACCTGCTCATTAGCAGCTCTCTCCTCTGGGGATTGCTAGGCAGCTGAGGGGATATAATATTACAGACTGCTGCAGCAAAATTAACTATAGCACATTTGTCAGAGCTGAAAATTATCTTGCAGTGATCATATATAAATGAGATTAGTCCCTGAAAGGAGGGAGCACATTATTTATTGGCTTTTTGGAGGTGACGTTTTATTACAAGACTGCCATTATTAATCCACCATCTTATATTTTTAATTTGCCCTCTTACATTATGACAAAGTTCAGCATCTTTTATTGGGCACTAAAATTCCAATCTAATTATGCACCCTGGCAAGTTAAAACTTGTTAGATGGGTTATCTTAATGTTATGTGTTAGTCACATCTAAGTACTTAGATGCTACAGTAATAGAATGACACCAAGTGATTAGTACAAAACGAATAGGTTCTCAAAGTGAATCTGAAGCCTCAGCTGAGCGCTAATTCATTCTTACGGCTTCTGGCACTCTGATTTCAAAGTGCTCTGGCTGTTGTGCCTCCCAAGGCAACCAGTGCCAAACTGGTATCTCTTGACTGGCTATTGAAGTGACCACCACACAGTGATGTATAGGGTAAATAAATAACCAATAATGGATGAGGGCTCAGATTAACAGGTTGTCATTAGGTAATTTTCTGCAAATTTAATTGATCTTCAGCATCTTGAGTCAAATTTAGCACAAATCCTTTTTGCAGTGTTGTAAGTGTAAAATATAGTTACTTTTCTGAGTAGAAAGCATGGGTTCTGGTTTTCTGAGGGAATTACCTATTTCCGATTCCTGTGATGGAATGTATGGTGTTTAAATCTGTCTGGTCTAATTCCTTATACAAGGAAAGGTATTGACCCATTGCTAGCAGTTATTGTGAACTTGTTAACTTAAGCAAGGGAAACAAAATCATTGTGTGTACTACTGCCCTCCTTGCAGCCTGTATAAAGTTAGTTGCTGATTGAGCTCTGCTTGCTTGCTGCTACCCAAGGAACTGTACCAGTACGTAGCGTCCTCATTTTGGTGAAACCTAGTCCAGATGATTCAAAGTGAGTTTCATACCCACAAAAACCTGATAGTTACAGACAGTCTGAGGTAAGTAGTTTATTTGTAAATAGTAGTAACAGCCCAGTGTTCACAACTTCTTATAAATTATTATTTCTATTTTTACAAACACCACTGTGCTTTTGTGAATTTACTATTTTATGGAACTCACTATCATCTTTCAAAGTTGTGTTTAACTTGTGTTAGGATACAAAAGAATTAGTGGTCACGAGATGAAAATTCATTGTCCGGCAGTATAGAAGTCTATATAATTGATCCTGCGGGAGTTTGGGCATGTATAAAAAAGCAGTTGTCATAGCTGTTTGGTAGCTTTTAAGCGTGTTCTTCCAACCACCTCTTATGCTCTTCTTTTTAACTTCAGTTTAGTTATACAAACTGTTTGTCTTTCAGAGCCAACATATAATCAGCCAAACCGAACCAAGAGGAAGCAGAATATTTGAGAAGACTCCCAGCATCTCATGAATGAACTAACGGAACTCGATAATGCTGGTTCTCCAGAGCCAGGTCTACGGCTCAGAAAAGGACACATGTCTGACACTGCAGCAACACGGGCAGCCTTTGAAGAAGACAGCTCTGAGCAGAGGCTTCTTTTAGTGGAGCCACCTCTGTCTTCTTACCAGGAAAATGTAAGTTACAGGATTATCTGTTAGGTTTGCTAGGAAAAATGAGTTTTAACATAGGTGCTTCAGCGCTTGAAATAAGTTCCAGAAATGGGAGCTGTAAGCCTACAATACAACCTCTTTATGCCTGCTAATTAATTGTAAGAAAACCAGGAAATATTTAGTTGAATATATGGGAAATTGGGTGACAAGATGGGGCACAAGTGTAAGTTTACCACCTTTATATTTTTTTTTATTCCCTCCTCAAAGAAATGGGATTCATACTGGTTTGTTCTCTGCTGAGATGCTGCTCTTATCAAAAGATTTTTGTTCTGTAACTTCCAATTAATTCTAAGTGAAAGGAGAAGATATATTGACTCTGGCTGAATGTAATCTGAACCTTGGCTAATTGCTATCATTTTAGAGATTAGGACAGAAAAATCTGTTTGCAGGCTTTCTTGTTGGAAGAATGGCCATGCTGGATTAGACCAAACATCCACGGTGTGTAACATCTTATCTCAGACAGTAGCCAGTAACACTCTGTTCAGGAAAGTACAAAGACGGAGAAGCGTGTTGTGTTACTTCCCTAGGATGCTCTCCCAGCCCTTAGTAATTGGTGGCTCACAGATTTCCTGAGCCAGTGGCAATGTTTTTGAATTTTTGGTGCATGAGCTTTTTTTAATTTTAGCAGCCACAACATCCTGCGGAAACAACTTAATTAGGTGTTGTATGCAGGTAAATGTCTCCAAGCATTGGACGAAGTGCCTTCTAGTTAGAGAGTTTCAGAACCGTAATTACTGCTTCTCCCAGCATATATACAGATGGATATCAGCACAGTTAAGTGAAAGAGGCATTCAGTTTAGGCTCACTGTTAAATTTATCATGGCTTAATGAGTTTACTGTATCAGCTCAGTTACAGCAACTGTGTGGTTTTAGCCAGCAGCAAAAACATGCTGGTGCTACTTAACGTAGCCTTCAATGGAGAAGAGTTGGGCTGTTACTGCAATTGCATTTGCCACAGATTCTCTGTGTGCGTGGACCACCATCATGGTTCAGCTGACGTGAGCACCTGTATTAGGCTATCTTAACTTGATTAGTTTGAGCCCTTCCTGAATTTAGTTTCAAGTGTCCTTGTAATGAAAAGTCAGAACAGGTATTCATGGCTAATAAGCCAAGCCAATCACTCTTAAGTTGTACACTGCTAAAACTTCCATAGGACATTCTCAGTGTGATGATAACAGGAAGTATCCAGTCTTTTTCTTTACATTACGTGGAAGGTTGTAAAGCATGTGTATAAGGTGCAAAGTGTTAGCCAACAGCTGAGTTTGCTAAGGTTAGAAAAAAGAAAAGTTGAGTTCTACTAGCAGATATTTTGAACATACATATGTTTATCTGACTGTGTTTGGGGTCATCTTTTTTGAAGGCTGTTTTCATTCTTGTCTCTGACTTTCCTGGTTGAATAATATGAGTTACCTGTTGCCTGCAGATGGAATAGCCCAAAGTAAAAGCCCATAACTGATTATAGCCTATAATTATTTCTGTACATTTACTTAGCTAAACAGAAATTATTTGGATGAACCAAAGTGTTTAATTTTAGAATTTTGGAAATAAAACGGTTAAAGTGCTCTCATTTTTTCTTCTGCTTTTTCAGGCATTCTTAGCATGTGTTAATCTTTTTTTGGTGTTTGCTTTCATCCTTATGACAAAAGTATGTGTTTCTTTTGCTTTGGTTCACTACAAATATTTAGCGTTTTTGTATTTGATGTTGTCTCTCTTTCACAGTCTCTTAAAATACTGCCACAGAAACATTGTTTTTCCCATTTGGGCCTTGCTGTTCTGTCTTGAACCGCTTCACTTGATCTGTCTTATATGGCCTCCTGGTTTTTTTGACTTTTTTCCAGCGGAAACTTTTATTCCTGTCTTCTGTGTTTTCTTGTTTTTAATACTGTGATATCTTTACATTTTTTTTCATCTTAAAAGGTTGAATAATTGATGCTTCAGATAGAGCATCCCAAAACTCTCTGCTGTCAAAAGTACTAATATTAGCTTGCCAAATGGGCTTTATTATGTGACATCATGCAGTATTCTAAATAATCTGGAAAAATTGTTATGCTACATATCTTCCTCTGTCTTGTATGAACCTCAGCACAGCTGTCACTCAAATGCCAGTTTAGGATTCATTTTTTTGCTCTACTGTACATTCTGGCTATGTGCAGCTGCCTCAGTAGAGATGACTGATTAGTTCAAAAGCATGATTTTCCTCTGGTGTTGAAGAGGCTCGTGTTTAGATAATGGTAACTTGAATTATAGAACTTAAAGCGTTTTCTGTTACAGAAGTGTGTACGTATTATCTACAAAAATATACTACAAAAATAGTTTTGGTATTGACAAGACGGGTGTATGTAAGTTCATGTAACTGTCAACTTGTTTTTATGGTGCATCCTATCTGAGTGAAAAAGATTTAGGTGAAATCTTGAAGGCCAAAGGTAAACATCTGAGTCCTAAGAATAGTCATTCTGGAGCTGATATTAAAAAATTCTGATTGCCTTAAATTTTTTCCTTTATACATTTACGTGCAAGTTTCTTGCTCAGTTTGAAACCATTTAGCTTTATTTTCAATCTAGCATATTGGTATTTGGAGTTATGATTAAAAACTTTGCATCTACTTCTGTGTTTGCCTTCTTCCTGCACTGCATTACAAGTTTTGTTGGTAGAGGTTGTCTTATTATGTATGTATGGGAGAGGCCTGGCATAACAGAGTTTGAGGTCCCACCAACATGTGTTTGCTTTTGTTTTAAAGCAGATTACGTTCAAAATCTGTTTTCTGTGGACTTCGTTATCACCTCTTCCTTTCCTCCATTTTTTGCAGCTCTTGGGAAGGAATGTTATTTCCTTGAAAGCATGTGAATTGGCATTTTACACTAGAGCAAAAGATTTTAACATCTGAATTTCTCCTTCATTTGCTGTTCTAAGCACTGGAAGTAATGCATATTTTACTCAGACTGCTAGTCACTGAAGTAGTGTTCCCTACAAATATGCCTTTTTTGTACAGCAAAGCATTCTTGGATACACAGAGCAGAATATCTCCCAGTGTTCTCACGTAAACAGTATGAAGACACGTGATAAGTCTATGGAGATGGTTTTCAGGCTCCACAGGCTTGAGTTGTTAGGATGCTGATGCATCCTTCACTGACAGTTGATGTGCCAGGCTTATTAACAGGCTTTTAGAGCTTGAATGTCTGCAGAAGAGACAGAAACTGGTGACCTAGTCAACCATGAGTAGATAATACTGGTGCCCAGAAGGCTGGTAACATGTGGGAAATGGCCATGTCTCTGTGTCTGCCCTGTCTCCCATAAAACTCTCATGTGAATTAACAAAGTTGTAATAAGTTATGGCTTGTTGAGTTGCAGCTGGGTTCAACTGTCTCCTGTTAGCCTGGAGAGTCTTTGAAATGGGAAGCATTGGTACTCTGCTGAGCTTGCTGCCTGCCAGCTGGTTTTGTAACCGTTGCTTGCTGTGCTGTGTGTTGAAACTAGGGGAGGGAGGGAATAGTTTTGTTTATAATTCACTGGCACAACTGTTTCCCTGGACAAGGGTTAGATTCCACAGTTTTTGCCTTTGTTCTTCTGGAGATTGAATCTGCCTGATTTGGGCAGTAATGGGGGATGTGACGGCCTTTCACAGAGAAAATAGTATTGTACTGGTGGGTTAACTTGCATCTTCCTCCAACTGTTTTGGATTGATTGACTCTGCTTTTATGTTAAGTTCAGCAGTACACTTTCAGTCTCTTACTTTTTTTAACAGAGCACTTTTTTTTCTATAAGCCCAGCATGCCTGTTTTTTTGTGTGCTGTCACAATTAACAATGACAGAGGAGCAGAAAATGGCACATGAGAATCTTCTGTAGTAGACACAATTTCTATCATTTTTTTCCCCAAAGTGTACTGATGAGCACATGTGGACATTGAAGTCTTTGGTCCTTGTCAACTACTGTGCATTGACAGAAAATCAGTAGTTGCTACTGCTTAGAGGTTCAACAAACCGTTTTCATCTGAAGATATGTAACGAGGAAGCTAGTTCTAATAAGGATGTATTACCAAAGTTGCTGAAGCCAAAATGTGACTTTGTCCTAGGACTATTTGCTAAATGAGTGTTAAATGTTAGTGCTTGTTTTTAATGAGTGCCAGCAAATCAGTCACCCATGACCAGTTATATAAAACTGTTTCCAAGTGCTATATTAAATGGAGTGTAGCTTTTATAAGAAGGTGACCTACAAAAGAAAAATACTAAACTCCAGGAACCTTCCAGTACTTAACATTTTGACCGATAGGCTGAAAGGGTCTTTGGCACAGCGCTAATGAAAGACTTTTTTTGGTCCCATGACAGCAAAAACAGCTTTGCACACGCTGCTTAGAGGGTGAATGTAGTTAGCCTTTTGGAAACTGTGGCGTGTCTGTGTTTACAAGCCTGTCAGATTAAGAGAGAGTGTAAACTCTAAATGACAAAGCTGTTATTTTAGAATAACTCAGTATGTGCAGAAGTTAGGGGAAGTCAGGGAAAGTTTTAAGGTGCTCTTCTTTTCCAGTTAATTACTTACAATCCAAATAACATAAGATGATGAAATTCTGAAAAATGTACAACAGGCTTTTAGGAGAAATGGCATGACACGGCACCACCTATCGCTGCTTTCCCTTTACGAAAGACCGATTGATAAAAGGTCAGTTGACAGAATGGGCACAGAGGAGTTGCTGAAAAAAGCAATCTGGCTAGCTGAAAAGGATGTTACAGGACTGCGATTAGAAGAATAGCATTTTTATATTATAGCCTTGAATGTATCTTGGCCATTATGCTGAATGCTCTCGAGTTACTGAATCTGGCATGCTGCCCCAAGAAACATTAAATGACTTGAATGTCGTGTTAAACACTATTAATCATTCATCTGATGAGATCAAGATAAACAAGAGCAAAAACTCCAAGTCATGTCTAGACTTTGTGACTTCAGTTTAATATGGGGGATAACAGTGGTA